CCTACGCAGCATTTCTATCCTGGGGCAGATGCTGTGTAAACCATGGCTTGCATTCCCCAAAACTGTACAGGTGCCCTTTGCGGTCGCCGGAAGCATTCCCAAATGTGTGTAATTAACATAAGTTACGGGCCCCTGTTTTTGTGTGTACCAACAACAACAACAACAACAAGCAACAACAACAACAACAACAACAACAACAACAACAACAACAACAACAACAAGCAACAACAACACCACCACCAGCACCACCACCACCAACAACAACAACGACAACACCAATAACAACAATAACAGCAACAACAACGCCACCACCACCAACAACAACATCATCATTAGCGACAACAACAAGAATAACAACAGCAACAACAGCAACAGCAAGAGCAACAGCACAGCAACAACAACATCAACAACAACACCACCGACACCACCACCACCACCACCACCACCACCACCACCACCACCACCAACAACAACAACAACAACAACAACAACAACAACAACAGCAACAACAGCAACACCACCAGCANNAACAACACCACCGACACCACCACCACCACCACCACCACCACCACCACCACCACCACCAACAACAACAACAACAACAACAACAACAACAACAACAGCAACAACAGCAACACCACCAGCAGCAACAACAACACCACCACCACGAGCAGCAGCAGCACCACCACCACCACCAACAACAACAACAGCAACAACAGCAACAGCAACCCCAGCAGCAGCAGCAGCAGCAGCAGCAGCAGCAGCAGCAGCAGCAACAGTAGCAATCACAACCACAACCACAACGACGACAACAGCAACCGCAACCGCAGCCACGACCACAACCACAGCCACGACAACAACACCAACAACAAAGCAGCACCAACACACCACCAGCACCACCACCACCATCATCCACCACCACCACCACCATCCACCACCACCACCACCACCACCACCACCACCACCACCACCACCACCACCACCACCACCACCACCACCCCACGACAACAACCACGACCACGATCACGACAGCACCAACAAAGTAACGACAACCACAACAGCAGCAGCAGCAACAGCAACAACAGCAGCAACAGCAACAACGACATCGACAACCACCACAACGACAATGACAACCGCCACCACGACGACAACGACGATGACGATGACGACGGGAACGACAATGGCAACCACAACAACAACAACAAGCACAATGGCAGCAAGCAGCATGGAAATTCTGATTCTGGATTGTCGTTTGAACTCTCATCTGTCCAAGTCTCATCCGTTGCTAAATCCTGAGCAGGTTGGGTAACGCCTCAGTCAGCTCCAAACGAAGCCGTAAATGGAGTTATCGCTTATTGCCCTCGCCACGTCCAGTCTCAGCGATATGCTGACGATTATGCAGCACCACAGTACAACCATGCACAGCAGACATTGTCAAGAGGTCACAAGCTGAAAAGCACGTGCACGGAGATGATCAGTCTCCGCTTCCCTCTCTGATGCATAGCTTGGAGGATACGGTAGCATCAGAAAGCCGTACCCCCCTGCTGGAAATAATGCATTAGGGTAATGGATAATACTGCGACTGCCACATAACCTGGGTGTAGACATGTCCGCAGAGGACCCTCAGCTTTGCTGTCAGGGTGCAACAACAATAATGTCATGAACAACGCCATCAACATCAACATGAACATCAACAGCAACAACACACAACCAACGACCAACGACCACCACCAACAACAACAGCAACAGCAACAACGAAGACACTAATAATGACAACAGCAATAATGACGACACGACAACGACAACAACAACAACAACAACAGCACCAACCACAAGACACAGCAAGACAAACACACCCTTGGTTGTGATAAAGCTTTTAGGTTGCAAGCGAAGAGACCTTGTCTCCTGAATCACGAACCTTTGCAGCATCAGGTATAGTACCCCTCATAGCAACCCCTTGTCGCAACGCCGGGCCTCCTACTTTTTCGAAACCCTTCCGGACTCCAGGGGGCGCCTATGTGGCTTCTGCCTTCGCCTCAACGCTGACGGCAGAAACCCCCAAGCCGCAGGCAGTGGCTTCGGAGGGGTTTGGAGAGTCCCTATCTAACTATGAAGGCCCTTGTACCTATCGATATTGTAGCTTTAGTGTTTTGGGTGTTCTACTTATAATCCCCCTATAGTAGGGTTTATGTGGGGTGATAGGGTCTTGCGATGTTCTAGCTGTTGTCGGGCTTTGGCTTGTGTGGTTCTGCTTTTAGCACGAAGAACTTTCTAACTAGCAGAAAGCAATTAGGGCCCGACAGCTTTGCGAGTTTGCTGGTGTTTACGGCTTTTTGGGAAGACCATCAAAGCCCCTTAAGGTGGGTGTGCAGGGGGATGTACCTGGATTTGTGGTTGGGGCGTCCAGGGCATGCAACGCTGCAGGAATGATGCGTTCTACGTTTTTACATGCTCTTCTACTTCCGGCTTGAGGAGTGCGGTTCCAGGGTGTGGAGGTTTGCATGTCTGTGGCCGAGGAAACTCTTGCACATCCACATCTCAAACCGCTGAAAAACTTCAAGCCTAACAACAGATTAGGGTTTGCGGCCCAGGACCGGAACGAAGTCACCAGCTTCTACCTCCGCTGCGCGGCGAAGACCGCAACTCGGAATGGAGAACATTGGAGAACACCTGGTTTGGGGTTTCAGGGACACGGCTTAGGGTCTAGTTCAAAGTTACATATTTAAGGGGTTCTACTGCATTTCGGAAGCTATGGCAGAACGGTTTAGCATAGGCCCCGGACTTGATCTTGGATGAACCCGTGACCATGAATCCGAATTTCAAAGCACCCGAAGACCCCAAGCCTGAGAGTTTTGTAATGGCGACTTTCTACCGGAAGGGGGGGTTTAGGGCCGGGGCCTAGTGCAGTCACCGCCCCAGCTCAGCATCTCGCTGCAGAGCAGCCATCATCGTCCTCGGGCCGTCGCAAGTACCCCGATGCCAGAGGGCAAGCTGCAAATCGTTGCATCTACGCTTTCGTGTCTTCATTAAGATTATAGCGCACTCCAAAGCCACTTCCAAAACCCAAAGGTTGCCCTAAACTCTCAAATCTTGGACTCGTAGACCCCAAAACTTACAAAGCACGTGTCCCAGATCTGTCGGATGCAGCGGAATGTTAGCTATTTGGTACGCGACCTTCGGCAAGGCGCGGCGCAGAGTGTTGGAACTTCATTTTGACTGTTCTGGGGCGTGGTGAGGCTTTTGAGTTTCAGTTTGCTGAGCACAGCCTGCAAAACATTCGGTTTCGGCCTTACATCGGTTCCCGTAGCCGTAGTCACAGCACAATGGCTCGAGGCAAGCTTTGGCAAAGCGACGACGACGGGTCCAGCCGCGTGCCTCCCATCTTAGACCTCCCGCTCCTGGCGATCATGGGGCTTTTCTCCATGCTCCCTGGAACATGATTTTTCGGACGGGCCTGTTGGTGGATTATCGTGTCGATCGCTTTTCTACTTGCGAGGACTGAGCTCTAGCAGTTGACTCTAGTTGCCTCAATTCCGGCACTATGGCCCATCAAGCCTAAGATCGCCGTGCGGCCATGCATAACCTCTACTCGGCGTTCCACATTTCGCCAAGGCTGGTCAATCCGCTGACAGCCTTTGCCATCTACTTGTTTCCCTTCACCGAAGGCATGTCCCGCAACGCTTCGTGCTGCAACGGCTGTTTGCATGCCGTGGGTGACGACATAGCAGGCGTTAGTCTTGTTCTTGCATCGGTACATATACGTTTCCCCACATGATCCATCGAGTGGCTTTCCCATGGGACCATGGGATATTCCTCAACGTCGATGTGTTTGGTAGAACCTCAAGCAGTTGTAGCGGCAGAGGGTGGCATCTGTTCGAGCGATCCGACGTTTTGCTGGATTGCTTGAGTCTTGTCGAGAAGCTAGCATAAATGCGGCAACATATAGACACGTGTTTAGTGTCACTGTCATTTGCGAGTGTTGGGCGGGATTCTTGTTTTATTTGCTCATGTATTTAGCAGGTTCCCATATCAGTTTTTAGGAGCTGCAAAAGCGAGCGTTTTGATGAAGAAGAGCCTTCGTCAGGTATCGACCTCTTCGAGGGGTTTGGGATGAAGGCTGCCTTCTGCGTGCCCGACCATGAGTTGGCTGCCGACCGGCTTCACTGCTTCTCAAAGCCATCCTATACACTTTGAGTATTCCCTAAAATTTGTAAGTTCTATTCCTTTGTTTACTAAGGGATCCTGTGCTTGGGTTTGGCGTCACTAGGTGCCCGCGAGGCGTTCAGGGGCTTGCTGCTCGTCTTTCTACCACCTTTTCCTGCAGCATCCGCGGCAATCCTACCTGGTGGGTTGTCGTAGGTCGCATGCGTTCGGTGACGCCTTCTCTGAAGTTGCAGCATACTGGAGTCAGAATCCGAGCTACCACAAGCTCCAGATGTCTCCGCCTGGGCTAAGAACTGTTAACCGTCGAATCTGCAGACCCTGCACCCCAAACCTGAGCCCTAAACCCTAAACCCCCCCCAAAAAAAAACCTGAGACTCATAGTCCGAGACCCCAATCTCAGCCCAGATACCGATCTTCAGCATCTGGGGACCATCGTCGGCCTCATTGACCTTCCTGACTCTTTCCGTGCGATTGTCACGAAGAGAGGTTTCTGTCGTCAAGTTGAATATACTTGTTGGAATGGTTTGAATATGTTTGAAGCAGTATCCCCTGACAGATTCCCTATATATAGCATGGTTATAAGCTCACACAGCAAAAATCCTCAACACCCTCATGCAAGCTTTTGTGATCCCAGCATCTAGCAGCCGCTTCATTACTACAAGGATCACAACATTTGAGTGTGGTTTTAACAAGGGCCGTTTGATTCCGAAGTTCCGATGTAACAGTAAAGCTGATATGGTGTTAAAAGACTACCTTGAAGCATGTCTCCCTGTCTGTTATCAGATCCCCACGCCCGAACCTTGAATTGGACTTCTTGCATGCTGTTTGACAGTTGGCATGTTTGCTCAGTCTGCTCACCTCAGCCTTCACACTAGCTTAGCGGTGTCGGACTGGCCTGAGGATCAGATATGTTCTTTCTAAGTTAGGCGTCTCACACCAGGTGTACTCAAAAACGGCCCAAGGCACGTACGATTCAGTATTGGGCTTCTTTGTTTTTTTTTCTGAAACTTCCGGATTGGTTGTGCTGTTCCATGTTTAGCGAGCAGTGCATGTGACTTCTTCAGGCTCGTAACCGTGATGCACCGAAGCCTGGGCATGGCACCTGGTGGATTCACCAAGGTCTCCCTCATCTGTTTCGCAGGATGCAATGTCTAGGGATTGTACGTAGTGGCGCCACTGATCAAGACTTGTGATACAAGCCTAGGCGGAATCAAAGAAGCACGGCGAGCCGAGGATCATTTGCGTCCTTTCCGGCTTTGCTTTGTGGCTGTTCTCTGCATTCCGAGTCTGCAACGTCTGGAGGCATCCCGCTGGAGAGGCCCTGCATCCTCTCAGGGATTCCCTTCGCTACGCACTAATATATACATATTATATTATATTACATTAGATTAGATTATATAATTATATTATATTATATTATCTTATATTATATTATATTATATTATATTATATTATATTATATTTTATTATATTAGTTTATATATATATATATATAAAGGTCACCCGACCGAAAGCTTTCTAGCTTGGGGCGATCGAGCGTCAGACCTGGAGGACCCTAGTCCCCGGCAGTGTCCTGAAATTGTCGAACTGTTTATTTAAAAAAAGGACTCCCCAAAAAGAGAACCCTAGTCTTAAGAAGCCGCCATCGCAAGGGAGGCTTGGAGCTCCGGGCCTCTTCGTTGCGGAGCGTCCAGTTTAGACTTCAGCGTTTGGCAGCTTTAGGTTTAGCATTCAGAGTCTAGTATATAAGTTGGAGGATCTTGCAAATGGAAGTTATCTGCGCAACTTGGTTGTTGTTTACTCTTCGGGGTCTCGGATGTAGGCTTGGATTCAGCCCCACGTGAAGCACATGAGGATTGCGGAGAAGCCGTCTGTAGACCACGCGTGCCGATAGAATCTCGGGACAGGTGCCTCGGCTTGCCCAGATCATGCTCAGCCTTCGGGCTGTTATCGTCCGCGCATCCGTGATTCAGATGGTGATCTGGGTGCTTATCACAGGACCGGCTTATCCTTCATCGTTTAGGGCTTCTAGGGCTTCATCTAGGAGGCTCTAGGTTGCCAGCCGTAAGCTTGAATTCCGTTGCACCTTTGCCTTATATAGGAAGACGCTCAGGCACACAGTGCTGCATCCGCAAGCTATCCATTCCGCATGTGCAGACCTTACCATTAGTTTGTGGCTGCTGAAAGACAACGGAGTAAGCGGGATACATGCCTGCATACGGTTATCATCCGGTCAGCTGGCCCTGGTTAAAGTATGTTAAAGTTCTGCTTGCCTTCGACGCGCTTACGTCTACCGATCCTCCAAGTATCAGGAGCCTTCCTTGCTGAGCTGGGCACCATGCCTGCTAGCGATCGCTTCAACGCATGCTCGACGTACATCCGCTGCTGGGCTTTGGGTTTCGTGCTTGGGTGCTTGGGATTTAGGCGTGCGTTTCCTCGGGCGCGGGTCTGCAAAATTGAAAGTCTGGCAATGTGAGAAGGAACAGTTATTTCAGCTGGATGTGAAGAGCTCGTTCCTGCTTCACGACTTTTGGGACTGTCTCGAGCTCGAGCCCCTCCTGTACTCATGCGACAGGCCATGGCCTAACCCGGCCATTCCCCAAGCATATTCGCCTCTGCTAGACTAGATTCTGCGAACGTTGGTCGTTCTGTGTGTCTTGCAACTGCGGGCTGGTGTTTCTTTGACAGTTTCTCTTGCGACTTTGCTCTTTGATGTGAGTGTGGCTGTTGTCTTATACATTATAGCTCCGTCTCTTTTTTCGGATTATTCCGTCAGCTGTCGATCCTGTAACCTGTGCACATATCGTTTGGCTATCTGTCTATCTATCGGTCTATCTATGTATCTATCGATCTATTTATCTTTCGATCTATCTATCTATTTGTCCATGTAGCTAGTTGTCCATCTAGCTATTTGTCCATCTATCTATTTGTCCATCTATCTATCTGTCCATCTATCTATCTATCTATCTATCTACCTATCTGTTGATCTATCTGTCTATCTATCTGTCTGTCTTTCTATCTACGTACATAGATAGGCACGCCGGCACTAAACAACACATGAATGACGTGAATGGAATGGAACGAATGAATGAATCAATGATTGGATGAATGGAATGGATGAATGAATGAAGTGAATGAAATGAAATGAATGAATGAAACGAACGGAGTGAATGAAGCGAATGAGTGAATGACTGAAAGAATGAAATGAATGAATGAAATGGAATGGAATGGAATGGAATAAAATGAAATGAAAATGAAATGAAATGAAATGAAATGAAATGAAATGAAAGAAAGGAAACAAGAAAGAAATAATGAATGAATGAATGACAGAATGGGTGAAGGAATGGACTGGAATGGATGAACGGATGAATGGATGAATGGGTGAATGGATGAATAAACAAATAAATGACATGGATACATATGTATATATATATATATATATATCCGTTTGTGTTTTGTATCTGTGTGCATATACATATATATCTATATATATATATACATATATATATATATACATATATATATATATTCTATATATTATGTTATGTACATATATACATACAGACATATATACATACATACATACATACATACATACATACGTACATACATACATCCGTACATGTATAGAAATGCACACATCCATCCATGCATGCATACATACATACATACATACATACATACATACACCATCGGGCGCTAAGCCCCTGGAGCTCCGAGGAAGCCGAACTGTTTTTCAAGACGGCTCGGTCTTCTTCAACTGCACCTGCCGGGACCGTCCGGGATTTGTGAATGGGGCAATTTAGAAGTACACTTTGCCAGTCCAGCGCTGCTAGCAAGACTGAGAAGAATGTGGCGCGTTTGTTTTTGGCATTTCGGGTTGATCGCTTTTGCTTAAATGGATCTGAGCAATGCGTGATTGGGATGGCTTCGGCTCAGAGGGTCGTTTCTGCTATGCGAGAGGGTGACTCAACTGTACAGCCCCTGTCCACCGCAATGCATTCAGAGATGCAGATCAACTTCGCGGCAAGTCGTGGATCCTCCGAAGTACTACTCTTGCAGAGCAAGGTCGAGAGGATCGTAGAAGGAGCAATTGAAGCCGTGGAGAACGCGCGTTCCAAGGCACTTCGCCGCCGGGTGGGGCAGCGACTTCGCAAGAAGCTCAGCAAAGTGCTGCACCAGGAGGAGTTCGAACAGGCCTTGGCGATTTTCATGCAGCGGGAGTCCGAGCTAAGCAGGGAGGAGGCATCGTTGAAGGAGGACCAGCAGGAAAGTTGCGACTCTTCCGTCCAATCACCGCGCTCGTCAGCAGATGTGGGGTCCTTCTCCAGGCAAACCACACTCCAGCCCATGATCGCGAACAGCGCCATGTGCTCGAACAGCCTGCCATCCCAGGCGATTGCTATCCCAGTTCCTGTGATCGCAGTACCATACTTCGTGCCTGTTCTTGCGGCACCTGCTCGAACCATCGCACAGCAACCCGGCCATCCTCACGAGGTAGCTGTCCCGTCGCCCGCAGGTGTGCAGGCACTGGAGGAAACGGAGTTGGAAAAAACAGCCTTCTTGCGGTCCATCACCCGAACCACCGGTACCACGGAAGATGGGGCATCAACGCTTTCCGCTATGGATGACGATGACATCGCAGATCGCCGCCTGGAATGGATTCGTGCTGTCACCGAACAGAGCCCTGCACCAGTTGAGCGCACGTTCATCCAGTTCAACACCAAGCTGACAGTGAGTCACCGGAGATTGAGCTCCCGCTAAGTTTAGTGTGAATTGCAGGGTCTTAGAAGTGCATGAATCACCATGCACCTCACGGCAGAGGCCGCGAGAAGACCGGGGATTTTCCAGAGAGCGTGGTTCACGCGGCCATTTCGGCATTTTATGCCACTAGAGGCCTTTGGCTGCAAGCAGGGCCGAGATCTCTGAATACCACGAACCTTTAGACCCGACACTTCCATAAGTAGTGTGCCCCAGACAGATCTTTGCGATCAATCTCGCCACTTACAATACCACGAAGCCCTGTTTGAAGTTTGAACCAGATCTTTTGAAGACTTTTTTGCTCGCCTGGGCCCCTGTGTGATACTGATAGTGCGGAGAGCTGCATTTGCGAGTCGTGGGCTCCGCCTTTTTGCACGTCAGTAGAAGCTGAGACGGGGCCCCAGATTTCAAGAGACCAATGAGCCCAGAAGATTCCATCACTTCAGCATCTGATGACCGGGAGAAGCTGCCCAATTATTGGTGTAGTTCGCAGCGTGATGTTGGGTCTATCGCCTGGTTCTTTAGCAGTTCACTGCTGGTCGCCAGACACTGAGTCTGCTCTGGAGTTCACACATCGCCTTATAAGGTTTTTAGATTTTGTGTGAAAATGTTTGAGGTTCAGAAACCGCCAGGGGATTGGCGAACTCCAGGTACTCCTGCAGCGGAGCTGGGGAGATGCTGCAGCTGCCAATGCTTCGAACAGGACTTAGTAGACATGCCACACTGGGCTTTGTAGATGTTAGGTCAAAGCGGGTTGCATGGATGAGCAGCGACCGTTTTCCTCTCCACCTCAGCATTGGTCAAGACCTCGTGGTCTTATCGAGGCTTTCCGGTAATTCGTAGTTCCGGCGCCAGTGGTACTCTGTCTCCTCCGGATTCTACTGTGAAGTTGCAGAGAAGTCCAGAAGCCTGAGCGCCTGAGTCAAACCCCGCAGATACACGGATACTGGGGTCCTCGCTTGCTCCCGTTATGCTGTGCTGTTCTTTCCACTCGGATGGAAAACCAGCCCCCAGGCACAGTCCCGCTGCCCACACGGTTGTGGAATGTTTTGGGTCTTTCGCTTCGTCTTGAAAAGTGCATAAGACTGAGGTGACACCGTGGGGTTCTTACATGCAGAAGCAGAGGAGCAGAGGGACCAAGTTGTTGTAGGTGTGAAGTGCCCGCACAATGGCGGTTCCGAGGCTGCTGCTATGGCACGATGCATTCTACTGTCGACACAGCCGCGTTCGTTCCATAGTCGAACACCTGCCGAGTTCGCCGGGGCGGCCGGACTCAATATTGTCAAAATCTAATGCGTTGACGCTGCCGAACTTGCGTAGATACCACAGTGACGTTCGCATTCTGGGATACTTTCGAGCATTTCTCCTGTAGCCTGCACATCCCTTCAAACTTAAGCATCGTACTTCTGCCATGTTGAAAATTCCACGTATAGTTCGAGGTGCACATGGTCGCGGCAGTTCGTCCGGCTTGGGTGTGAAATGTTGGACTGACAGGGGCTCGTTCACTCCTTGGGGGGTCTGCGCTGGCTAATTATTTTTCGCGGAACCAGCGCCTCTCGCGCAACAATGGCTTTGTGTTGGCGCAGGCTTCGTCACGGTCATTGTGGTCGTCCTTATGATCCCGGTACTGGTCGTCTTGGTCGTTGTGCACGGTCGTCCTGATAGCCTCACATGGTGTGTGGTCTTTCACTGTTTTGGGTTCTATGTTGGTATATCTTTGATTTGCGAAGCTGTCGGTGTATTCCATTATGCAGCAGCTCAATGTACGTCTGTGTTACATGCGGTATTATCACCGTACTATTTGTTCATCCGAAGGCTCCGGAGTACCTCTGCTGTTTAAGAGCAGATTGCGCCAACTTTCAATTGTTTTCGGCTGTTTAAACTTGCACGCCGTGCTGCGTTTCATGAAGGTCCCGAGCTCCGGTGGTCCGTGTGGAGTTTTTAGCCCAAGACATGCATATCAAGCTGAGTGACTGTTAGATTTGTAGACCTTAATTGGTTCTTGAACTCCAATCTTGGAGTTGAAGGCTTATATTTAGTATTGGTACTTATAAGTTTGGGGTTTTGGGGCTTGCGCCTGAGTTCAATATTACAGCTCTGAGAAGTGGTTCACGGATTGTGCTAAACCCTGCGCCCTAAACCACACCCCGGAAACCCTGGAAACCCTGCATCTGAAAACCTTGAACCCTGTACCCTATAGCGAGGGCAATTCGGGCTCGGCGACCCGGGGTCGACTCTCTCCGAGCCGATCCTGGCACAACCATCATCGTACCTTAACCTATGACAGGCTCAGTGTCCTTTACGTACTAGTACTATACAATAGCATCTTTTCGCATTTACAAGTCTACTTCTTTCTTCATATTTATAGTCATGTTGTCGTAGCTGTTGTTAGGATCACTGTCGTGGCCCCTGCTGCTTGTACCATATGGGGACATTCGCGTGCGGAGAAGCAGGGCTGGAGCCTTGGTCGAACCCGACTCGGGCTGCCATGCAGGAGGCATTCGCCATTCTCCATGGGCCTTCTCCACCGTTAGCTTTAAAGAGTCCAGGGCAGCTGCGGCTTTGCACTTCTGCGCAAATAGTGCAAACTGAGAGGCCTTATTTCCGAAGGCATCACGTCATTTATGCTCAGGCGCAACACATGGACAGGTTGTGACACCCTTCGGGAACAGTGCATCTGCGGTGAATGCTGAAGGATGCACTGACAAGGCCGGATTCTCATGTGACGCATTCCTGGTTCAGAGGGATGGTGCGAAGTCCAGCAAGTTGTGTGTTTTTTTGAAATTGTTCATGGTCTTAGCGTCCAGATCGACGCGACTGCAGGGAGTACCGAGTACCCTTGCAGGAGCACAGACAGTTCCTGCATCAGACTTCTTTCTTGACCATCACGTCACGAGAGACCTGGGACTCAGTGCTGCCACTCCCCTATCAACGTGTTACAGAGGGTTTGTCTCAGACAGGGTCTGGTTCAGACAGCCTGTTCGACGCTTCACATCGGCATTAGCGGAGGCGGCTTCGGAGTTCTCAGTATCTCCACTTGATGTGAGATTCCATTCTCTTGGCAAATTTATCGGAAGGCAAGGCCTGGGACTTGGAAAGAAGATGGGTAGCTTGGTATCGACTTTCAGTAATCCTGGTAACTGTTCAATTCTGTTGAATCACTTTACATGATTGTATATGTTGATCTATTGTAATCTTGTCGGTCCATTTGCTTACCAATCCTCGGCAATCCCCGAATGTGGGGTACGGGCACGCGAAGGGCAAGGAGCCCATGACTCCTCCTTCCTAGCTCACTCTTCCCATGTTGAGTTTTCAAGTCAGAACCGGTAGAAGGTACAGAGCAACATGAAACGGCAATATGTAAGTATGAACGTACCTATTTTCTTCATACTTCGGCCTGCGGGCTTGGCCGTGTCAATGTGTAGCCGCAAACCGGTCCTATTTGCGCACCGGCGCGCCGGAGGGCACATCCTCCAGACGATTCGTTTCGGGTCGCCAGGTGTTTTCGACCTCGGAGACGGAGCAGAAGACATCTGTTCCACGGGCAGAAATTAATTATGCATGAAGACTAAATCCACATCATCGATATAGAGCTTGCCAGGGATTACAAAGAAGCAAGCTTCAAAGCCCTCATACCTTCCAATCTCGGCCAGAGCTCCCGTCGAAACCGCCGGTGGCACCAACATTGGAAGCCACAGAAGTCAGGGCCAGAGCCGAGCAGTGCGATGCCTTGCTGACTTTGTTCACTTGCCCTTCATGTGAATAGTGCGACGAAGAGCTACTACCACTAAGGGGTGATCCTGTATACAAACCATCAGAAAGGATTTCGCAAGCGGTTGCTCATCGCACAGAGAAGGCGGACAGGTGCCCTGCAACATACCAATGCCACCACAATTACCCTGCGTGTGCACAAAAAAGACAGCCATCCGCCTCACAAGCACTTGTCGGTGCGTGCTTAGATAGGGTATTTGTCAGGATGTTGGCTGTGATGAGGTTGTTTAAGACGTGGAGCGCCCAGATCTGTGGCACTCCAGAATTGGACAGCTCGGTACTGCAGGGACGAGAGCAGTAGTATTCATGGCCAGTGAAACAACGGTAGCAACACTCTGGCGGTGTCTCATGCCGGAGCAAGAAGTACTACACAACTGGTGAGGGCAACAAAAATTCGGGGCAAGCATAGCAAGGAACTGTAGCTTCATGCGCCGCGTATTATGGCAGCGGAAGCAATAGCAGCAAGACGGGCAACAGGCATCAGTTCCGTCAGAGCAGCAACTGCTTCCATTCAACTGCCAATGCTTTCGGCGGTTAGAGTGTCCATGACAACCATAAGAAGACACACTGGCAGGACTTGTACGCAGGGTATCCCTGGTGGACTTCGTCATACTTCGTCGAAGGCGGCTTTGGCGATCACGCACACGCACACACACTCGTCTGCCCAGCTACAAGCAGGGTCCGTTTCACTTTCGTGTCAGGAAGCCTTGGTAGGTCGTGCTAAAATAACTCACCTTGAATAGCTCACGTTGCATATACATTATTCAGAGGTTGCTCTATGCACTCGGGGCCAGCGCTGCGAATCTTGCTTAGCTGGGTTTTTCTCACACTTTGGAGCGGTCTGTCGATCTGAAGCTTCCTGCTGTTGCTCAAATTCTCCTAGTCCTTCCCTGCATAATCTCCGCAGGGACAATTGCTGTGACACGCTGTGCATCGTTCAGTGAACCTTCCGCTAATTAGCCGCAAGCGGCCGCAAGCGCAACCGAAGACGCATATTTTGCTGAGACTATTTCACGCAGCCCGAGCAGCTGATCATCAACGCCACCATGCCGGGTTTGCCTACGTGGAGGTCCACCAAAGCGCTCGTACTATCTTCGAGACGAAATGCGAAAGTTAGCGGTGCGCTGAATTCAGGTTGATTCAATCAATTTGCTGACGGCTCGCTTGTAACTAAGGACGAAGGAATGATGGTGTGTTGAGTGTGTTGATGGCGGGTTCCATGTTTGCGTACGCACCTTCATGCGTGCAATTCCAGGGCTTCAAGTCTTCGATGCTGCCGCTAAGAAGGTGAGACATGGGTCGAGGAGCCTGGGCCTTGACTGGTAATTACTGAACATGTCCGAACATGTGGGATGCTTTGGGTCTAACACGATTGCGCTGTGTGAAAACACGGTGCATGCACCGAAGTCGTCATCGTGCTGGGCGAGAGGGTGGCGGTGGCGTTGTAGGAGGATGACGAGGAGGAGGTGTGGAGAAGGAGGGGGATAGGAGTAGAACATGGGACCGCAAATAACAATAATAATAGTAGTAGTAGTAGCATCAGTAGCAGCAGTAGTAGCAGTAGTAGCAGTAGTAGTTGTAGTAGTAGTAGTAGTAGTAGTAGTAGTAGCAGCAGTAGTAGTATAGTGCTAGTATACAGTATAGCAGTAGTGGTAGTAGTGGTAGCAGTGGTAGTAGTGGTAGTAGTGGTAGTAGTGGTAGTGGCACGAGTAGTTAGTGGAGTGGTAGTGGTAGTGGTAGTGGTAGTGGTAGCGGTAGTGGTAGTAGTAGTAGTAGTCGTCGTCGTCGTAGTAGTTGTTGTTGCAGCGGCAACAGCAACAGGAAGCAAGAACCAATACAGATGCCCGTATCGAT